GGGCGGCTCAAGCCAGCAGCTAAATTTCTCCTCCTCCCAAGTGGAAAGGAACACGTGCACCCGCCCACCAGGCCTGGCACGCGTGGGACGCCGTCACCACCGGTCCTCCCCTGCCCGAGGACTCCCCGGGAGGGAGCACCCCAGCTCACAGAGCGTTTGCAGCGCCAGCCGGGATCGTTTCTATCCCTGGCGTCCAGGTTTCGTGTTTTGTGTCTGCAGCCTCGGGGGTCCGCTCACACTTCCGCGCAGGGACCCCGATTTCTGCGATGGGTTTGCCCAGGAGCTCCCAGCGCGGCCCAGATCTGCTCTCGGCCCCAAAGGGGAGCACTGGGGGGGCAAAGACTGGTGATTCCCTGGCTTCCTGGGCGCACATGCACCCGGGGGCCCTGTGGCTTGAGGACGGGGCGGCACAAAATGCCCTCAGGGCCCCCGTTAGCCAGCGAAGGGCAGAGTCAGGAGGGGACTTATGGCGACCTCACCCCCCCCTCCCACCAGGGGCAGCCGGCGGTCAACACCCCCCAAAGCTGGTCCTCTGGAGCGGTTCACACCGCCCCCTCGGAAGCAGCAGCTTTCCCCGCCCCCGGCTTGTGTGGGTCTGAGGCTGGTCTTTACCCGCGTCACCAGCAGAGGCAGAGACCCTGACACCCAGCGCCGCCCGCCAGTAACAAAAGCCCAACTCAGCCCGACGTAAACAAGAAGGGGATTTATTGGCTCATGTAACAAATCCATCCACAACCGGAGCGCAACCGCCGGCAAGGCTCGATCCTGTGTACTTAGCGATGTCACCGGGGATCTGGCTGCCCTGTGCCACCCCCACCCCCGTCCCCTCCAGACCCAGCCGCCAGCCCTATGCCAGCAGCACCGTCTCTGCGCGACGTTCCCAGAGGCCGGGCCTCCCTCCGGCCGCGCCGCGTCTGTGAACCAACCGGTAGCCAGGGAGACGGAAGGAGAGGCGGCCCCGTCCAGGCTGGAAGTCCCACCCTGGAAGTGGTGACCCCAAAACTCCCCAGTGGAGATGGGGGCGCAGCCACCACCACCCACTACACCCCTTCATTTTCCACACCAGTTCGCCCGGGGCGGAGTGGTGGTCTGTGCGCGCCCAGCACAATAGATTTCTCCCTGGACCCCCGCGCATGGCTGCAGGCCTCGGGTCCCAGCACCTCGACGGCTTCCAGCCGGAAGAGAACAAGCCTGTGCCCAAGGGCTGTGGCAGCCAGGAGGCCCCCCTCACCACCGCCCCCCCTCACCCCGGGGGCCCCAGCAACCAGGCGGCTCCTGCTACTTTTCAGGGGAAAACGCGTAGCGTGTGCAAACGCCACGCGCTCTGGTCTGACTTGGCCACAAGGCGCTCTGTGATTAGGCAGCTTCCCTCCCGGGGTCTGGGAGCCGGACTGTTCGCTCTTGTTTACGCATCACTGCGGTTGTCAGAAGCGCCTTCTGGGCTCTTCTTTAAATTCTGTATTTTGGCTTTCCCAAATTGACCCGCAGCAGGGGCGGGGGCCGTGGAAATTACGTTCTCACGCAGGTTTGTGTGGCTTTGCTGCCTGGCCATCGGGGTGGAGCCTGCAGGCAGTTGGGGCTCTGCGTCAAGGTCTCCCTGAAATCACTCTGGCTTTCGCGCCTTGGCGGGAACCCTCTTGGGGGAGAAGCTGGGGGCTCCGGGAGGCTTCGCTGGCAGAGACCAATGGACATGCCCCAGGGACCGCTGGGTCCCCTCCCCTGCCTCCAGGCTCTCCCCCAGGAGGCCTCAGTGTGGCCCTGAGAACAAGCCGTTGGGCCCGACCCCGTCATACGCATGTGCAGTCCAGCTAAGGTGCCCGGCGAGCTACGAGGCCATCGGAGGGGGGGCTGTCCCGAAAGGGGTGCGGGTCTCTGGCTCCTGCAGCAGGGAAGGGACCACCTCCCAGGAGGGACGGCCCTCCCCCTGCCACTGACTCCCGGGAGGGAGGAGGGAAGCCCAGGGGCCATCCAGCCACACCTCTGCCCTTCCTGGCTCCTGGGTCTTCCCCCCACCCCCCGAGGTCATCCGGGTTGGCGGGAAGAGTGAGGGCTGGACCCGGGGACCCATCTCAGGAGGCAGCTGGCTTCCCTCCATCAGTGGGCGCCGCTGTCCCCTTGGAGCTTCCGGGTCTGCTCCTGGGCCACCTTCCAGGGCAGGCGCGAACTCCTGGCCTCCCCTCCTCCCAGGACTCCAGAGCAACGGCCTCATGGGGGCCCTTCCCAGGCTTCCCGGGGAGCCACAGCCGCGCCAGTACGCCTTTACAGAGACCCAGGCGTTTCCGGCTTGTAGCCGCGGGAGGCTGTGGGGAGGGCGCAACGGGCTCGGCACTGGTGTGCGTTTGGCGGAGCCTGGATGGACGTGGAGGCTGCCCCCCGAGGAAGGCAGGCCGCTGGGCCCCCCCGCCCTGCCTGCCCTCACCGTGGTGGCTCCCGGCTTCCCACGAGCGGCGGGGAGCGCAGGGTCAGGGCATTCTGATGCCTGGGCCTTCGAATCTCTCACCCCCTTTTCTTTCCCAGTGCGGCTTGGCTCTGGCTGTGGGAGCTCAGACCCAGGGGCCCGCCTAGGGTCCCCCGGGGCACGGAGGGGCCGCTGAGGGGCATGGGCCGCCTGAGCACGGGCCCACCCACCCACCACCATGGGCCTCACAGCGGGCGGTGTGCCGCTGAGCCGCCGCCCCCACCCCCACCCCCAGACCTGAGCTCTGGTCTCCACGGCCTCGTTCCTGAGCCCGAAGCGCCACGGGAGGGAGGCTCCAGTTTGCACCAACAGCTCTGCTCCTCCAGGATGAGCTCCGAGTGGCCGTAAGGACAGTCCTTTCCTGGGTCCCCAGCCCTGTCCTCACCTGCCCACTCCTGTCCTTGGAGACGCGCCCCCCCCCCCAACCCTATTCATCTGTTCCGCAAAGCACATCAGGGTTTTCCTAGCCTCTGAGCCTTTGTACGTGCTGTTCTCTCTGCCTACGTACCCTTCCCTCTGGCCTGCTGAGTCAATGCCTGCAGACTCCTCAGGGCCGTCCCGGCTGTGCACTCCCCGGAGGCCCAGGCCCACGGGACCCCCGAGCCTACACGTCACACGCTGCCCCCGTGTTGAGCTTCTAGCTCTGCTCCTAACCACACTCCCTGCCCCTAGGCTGGCGCACAGTGGGCCACGGTGTCGTGACGGCCTTTCTTCTNGCCCAGCTCCCCGCCCCCCCCCGGGCTGGCGGGAGTTTTCAGGCTCCCCCCCCCCCCCACCCCGAGGGCCGTGCTTGGGATCAACGTCTCCAGCACCTGGTCAGCTTTAGAGGCCCTGAAGCCTGGACTCACGGCTTGGCCCCAGTCTGTCCCCTAAATTCTGTGATGGAGCCACACGCCCCGTGAATCCCGCCGCCTAGAAGGCAGACTCACTTGTGCTGCGTCATGGAAAGAGCTGGCACTGGGTTTCAGAGCCTGGGTCTGAGTCGCTCACCAGCTGTGTGATCTTAAATCAGCCACTCAACCTCTCTGTGCCTCTGTGTTCTCACTGCAAAATGGGATGAACAGAGCTAATCCCACAGAGTTTTTATAAGGATTGTTCCAGTTAGTCCTAAACCACCTTGCATGGCGCCTGGCAGGTAGTCACATGTCCTCAGTGGCCCCTGTTCCTCCGAGGAAGGGACTGGAGGACTTTTCTGTAAAGGGACAGATAGTAAACAGGCTTTGCAGCCACTGCAGCACAGAGGAAAAGCTTGTGATTGCAGGAGGGACGGCCTCAGGCAGCATAGGACCCAGGGGCCAGGGAGCCCACGCCACCCGTGAGTCACTCTCTCGACTAAGGAGGAACGTCCAACCATGCACCCAATGGCTGCGGTCCCCAAGGGCGCTCGGGGACCCACCAGCTAACGTCCGCTAAGCACAGGTCCCATGCCTGGCGCCGCTGGGGGCGGGGGTGGGAAGAAACCGCAATTGACAGAGTCCAGCCCCCGTCTTTGAGGTGACCTCCCCCGGCGGAGGAGACAGGGCCGAAATCCTAACCCTAAACCCCACAGGTGGCTGCGAACAGGGTCGCGGGAGACTCGCTCACCCAGGGTCCACACACCTTTCCGAGGCGGTGACGCTGGGGCCCACACTTAGCTGCCGGCTCTTGTGCGCAGATTCTCCAGGAAGCGGCCTGAAGGGACGCTGATTTCCTACTGTTCTGTGAGGTGGTGCAGCCCTGGCCAGAAGCAGGGGAAGTGGGGGCGAGGCCAGGGAGCACAGGCCCCGTGCTCCCAGCCAGGAACCCAGGGCACAGGCAGGACGAGGTTCTCCGCCACAGACGCTCGGCTGGGAGGAGGAAGACAGCATTGGGTCTGAAACCGGGGTCAAAGCCTGGTTCTGGGTCTCTGCTCCCCATTTATTTCCCAGGTTGCGTTGTTTGATCCAAGCCTCAACTTGCCCATCTGTAAAACGGACACCGCAGAGCCCTATTTGCGGAGGTGTCTGGGGTAAATGGGGGGGGTGGCGCACGGACACGGGCGGCCAGCACCTGGCCTTGCACAGAGCTGGGCTCCGTAGGTGATGACTTCACAGTGCTACCCCAGTCGCGGGGGGTGGGACAAGCACTTGGAGGCCGTTCTACACCCTGAGCTGCTATGTAAACATTTAGTGAAGAAGGTTGAAAGGCTTAGCCGTTTTTATTTTTTCAATGTTTATTTATTTTTTAGAGAGAGAGAGGCAGAAAGAGAGGGACACAGAGAATCGGAAGCAGGCTCCAGGCTCTGAGCTGTAAGCACAGAACCCGACGTGGGGCTTGAACTCACGAACTGAGAGATTGTGACCTGAGCTGCCGAAGTCAGATGCTTCACTGACGGAGCCCCCCAGGCGCCCCTCAAAGGCCTCATTTTGAAAGGTGGCTTAAATCCTTTGCAGATTGAAACAGAATCCGATCTGACCCCCACTCCCGGGGACCCTCAGGCCCCAGTATTACCCGCCCCCCAATCTCCGAAGAGCACCAGCACCGTCCACTCCAAGGCGGAAGGACCACACGGCAGACGGCACCGTGGTCTCCAGGGCCTTTATTCAGGAAGGTACAGGCATTGCGGTCTGTTCGACAGGCACTGTGTGGGGGGAGAGGGGGGGTGTCTGTAACAGTTCAGTTTCCTCCAAGGTGTGGCGGCGAAAGGGGTGCAGAGAGAAGGGGAGCCCTCTGGGGAAGAAAGGCACTGGTGGAGGGCTGACACCCCGCCCCTCCCCAAGCCCTGGGCTGGGTTATGTACACACGGCGGCGTGGACTGGGTGCAGGAGAAACTCAAAAGCTAGATACAGCTCCCAGAGGAAAGAGTCTGCGGGCTGGGGCAGTGCCGTGTCCAGACTCTTTCCGCCAAGCGGGAAAGGGAATCCAGGAAGAAGGCACAACTTTGAAGGGCGAACACAATCCAGCCTCCCATTCTTAGTGTTTTGTGCGATTAAAAAAACCCGAAAAAATAAATATAACTTAAAAACGTCTTACAGGACGTGAAAGGCAAGTCAGTGGGCAAGCAGTCGAGAAACTTCTCCTTGAATGCTAAGCACACGGAACACCGAGGAGCCCCGGGGGTGCGGCCAGGACCGGGCGGGAAGGTGGCCTGCTCACCTGCGCACAGGTGCGCATGGCTTGTCCCACCTGCACCGCCAGGACCTGAGGAGTCCCTCGCAAGGCTTCTGGGAAATTCCATCCGGGATCCATCTACCCCTCCAGGACGGGGGGAGGCAGAGAAGGGGGGAAAGGCTGACAGTTTAGGTGTGGAGAGGAGAGCCAGAGAGTAAATACAACCCACCCCCCCAACCCCTAAGGAAGAGAATAACCGTAAAAAAAAAAAAATGCCCCTTTATACCACTTTCACGGACAGAATGTAACCCAACGTGCAGCCAGTAAGAGGCGCCATGGACCTCCGCTAATAAACACATCGTTTTGCCGTTTAGCACACTTGTTTGCAAACATCTGGTGCCTATTTAAAGTGCTTGGAAAATTTGTTCTCTTAGTAGGTCAAGCTGGTCCCCTGCACTTTTTTGTTCAGAGCGTTCCTTCAGCAGACTGTCCTCATGGATAAGCGAGGGCGACCTGTGGTCAGTCCCCAGTGCTGGGACCCGGACGTCCGATTTAGCGGCGTCCCTGTCCCCTCCCCGCGGACTGCGATGCACAGCCCGCCGGGTCCCTTCTGGGCCACAAGTGACTCCATCTAGGGCCACCCAGAGCTGGCCTTGGTGCTCCCGCCTTTACAGGGTCATGTGCTGTCACGAGCTCTCACGCTAGGCCGGGAGGAGGGGTGACCCTTAGTGAGCCCCACACACAAGCTCCCTCTGTTTTGGAACATGAGCCAGGAAGTTTCAAAGTGATTTCCTTTCCTAAAATCTGTACTTAGACATCCTCGTGGGTCCTACCCTCCGCCCCCACCAACTGTCACTCACCCAGCACAAAAGGGGAAACGCTGGTGTCACTTGATGAGGTCAAAGGTCCCCCGAGTCCCTAGGGTGATGGGGGGGATCCCCAGAGGGCCCTGTCTCTTGGATCGGCCCCTCTGGGCTTGTGCTCCTGGGCTTGTGTACCCGGACCCCACCACGTCCCGGAATCAGCGGTCTGCGAGGGACTGGCCCCGGTGCCCTGCGCCCGGTCACAGCTCAGCCCTGGGCACCCCTGCACCTCTAACAGCTGCAAAGGGCCACAGGGCCGAGAGGTTTGTTCTTAAAAAGTTAGGCCGATTTCACATTCTTCTCCACAACACATACTTAACTGGCTTTAAAATTAGGATACGGCTTAATTTGTTTCCCAGTCATCTTCAAGCAACTCGGAGACCCTGGGAAGGGCTGCCCGGAGCACCCCGTCTCCACGGCCGGCACCCACCACCTATTCTGGGAGCCGCACACACATCCAGGGTATATGGGTCTAAGCCCCTGCGGCTGTAAGAAGTTACTTCAGGGGGGCAAAGTGAGGCCTTTAAAATCTGCCTCTTCCCTGCCCAGCGCTGCCCCAAGCCTGCTGTGGACATGACCTCGTGAAAGAGGCCCGGGGGTGCACCAAGATGCGGGGTGGGGTGAAGCGACCGAGGGGGGGTGTGCGCTCAGATTCCTTGTGTCTCTCTGCGGGCCGGCTGTGCCCCTGGTCGCAGCCAGGCGGGGAGCTGGAGGCACAGCCGGTTCTGAGGGTTGGGCGACCTCCCCGGAAGGTCAGGTTTGCAGAGCACCCCTCTGAGTTCCTAGGTGATAATCAAGGACAAGGGCTCCTGCCCGCCCCCTCCGGGGAAGGTCCAGGGCTGAGCGCACAGCCAGCAGACTCCGCGGGCTCCCGGGCCGGACCCCCTGGCGGGTCTGGATACCAGAGGGTGGGGTCCCTGCTCAGCACGCGCCCACGGGAGGCCCTGGGCTGCTAGGCGGCGGGTGCTTTGCTCATGGCCCACATGCACTTGCCAGTGGTATTGTGCCCCAACTAGGAGAAGCACCTGCTGAAAGGGAGCCCCCAGGCTGGGGGCGTGGAGCTGAAATGGGCTGAGCCCCGTGGCCGCCCTAATTGCAGCGGCCACCAGGGGGCAGTAAGCACCCGCCGGAAGGCTGGGGCCGGCTCCTGGGTTAGGGACCTCCCTGCCACCTGAGCCTGGCCCCCTCCCCTCCAGGCGGCCCAGCTGCCCCCCTCCTCCCCGGCATCCCCCTTCTGCTTGCAGATCCCGTTTATAAAGAGAAGCGGAAACCCCAGCTCCAATCCCGTCACGAGGAAAAGAGCCAGAGACCCCCCTCTCCTGTCGCAGGTCTCCACCCCATGTCTTACAAAGTGTCTCGTAGTGCAGTTCGGGAGGGTCAGTTCTGGGGCTCGCACCCACACACAGGAGGAGAAAGGAAGCAGGGGCGGAGGGGGCGGGGGGGCGGGGAGAGGAGGGAGGGGCAGCGAGGCGGGCGGGGCCCTCAGGCGAGCGGGGCGCCCTGGCACATCTCCGTCAGGATGTCGATGAGGTTGTTCAGGCCCGAGAGGTAGCCGTCCTCTCGGTTGCCCTCCTGCCAGGGCACGTCGTGCCGCAGCGTCTGGCCCTCGGGCAGCGGCGTGGTTTTCCCGAAGTCGATCATCCACACCTTGGCCTGCTCCTTCTGGTCGTGGATGAAGAGGAGCGAGCTGCCAATGACCTGGAGGGGAGCGGGCGGCTGAGGAGGGGGGCTGCGAAGGCACACCCCTGGCCCCCAGCTCCGGCAGCACCCTCCCCTCTATTTCAGTCCACGGCTAAATCTCCCGGCCCGGCCCTCCCCGACTCCCCCCTACACGCCCCGACTTCTCCTGTCCAGGGCACCGCACTGCACCCGTGGGGCAGAGAAAAGGACCTGCCCAAATGGGCACACGGCACCCCGGGGGGGGGCGGGGAGGTCCAGACCGGCCTCATTCCCCCAGACCCTGAGGGGCCGCCGGCTCGGTCCCTGTCCCACTCGCCCCCAGGGAGCCCTCCCCGCTCCGGGCCAGGTCAGCGCGACTGCGTGGGGGTGAGGCGCTTTCCCAGACGTGAATATATCCCCTGAACCCTCCCCCAGAGCACCATGTGGGGCCAGAGGAGAAAGGGGGTACGGAGAGAGGGTGTGGGGTCTTTCTAAGCTCCCAGGGCCCTGGGCAGGACAGGGAAGTCCCTGGAAATTACTCCTTGGAAATGCGGAGCCCCCCACAGGGGCTCCCTCTTCTCAGACGGAAAATACCAGAAGCCCCAGCTAATCTGGCCTCTTTCTAGACCTGAAGCTTCCGAATGAGACTCTGGAGAGAGGAGCGTGAACACAATTTTTCAGAAACAGCAGCAAGGGTGCAGGCGAAGAGAGGACAAACGTGTGAGACGAGGTCAGGGGGCTGAGAGGGGTGAAGGGGTCCCTCGGCCCCGCGTGGCAGGTCCTGGGGCTCGAGGCCCCCAGCCCTTCCAGGCTTGGCCTGTGAGGTCGGGCCCACACCCCCATCCTCTGGAGCAGGGAGGCAGGGGGGAAGGGAGGAGGCTGCACAAAGCCCTTTTATCAAGCTGAGAATACAGAGGCCCTGCGACCTGGGAGGGAGGGGGAGGAAGGGACCGCCTGAGAGGCTTGGGCACAGCTGTTCAGGGGGGAGACCACCCGGTCTGCCCTCTGGGCACTGCAGGCCCTCCTCATGGGCAGTCCTGGGGTCCAAGCCGCCACATATGGTGGGACAGGTGCACCCTGGCCAAGCGGCAAGTCGGGGATACAATCTGAGAGCAAGCTGGGCAGGCTGCCTGGAGGAAGGGCCAGTCATGTCGCCTGCACAAAGATGCTGCAAGGCTTCGCAGGGCCAGGACCCCTCCCTCGGGGAAGCTCCTCTGCCCAGAGTCCCGGACCACCTGTCTGTTCCTCCCACCGCACCCCCTGCTGGACCCCCGGTCCTCTCTGCGGTCAGGGCTCAGGCCGAGGCTCTTTCCATATAAGACCCGAGAGGCGCTGCTTTCTGGAAAGAGCTTCAGGCCTGCGGGGAGGGGGGGTGTCTTCCCTCCCCCCTTCAGGCTGAGCTCTGAAGTCCCTGAGGTCCTAGGCTGAGGGCCACAGCCCTCAGGCAGGACAGTCCCTCGTGGTCAGGGGGCCAGGCAGCCCGGTGCAGGTGCATTACGAGGCGCCCCCTGCGGGAAGCGAGACCCGATGGGGGGAGGCTGCCTCTGGCTGCATCGTCCTCAAAACTGCCCCTCCGGCTTCCAGAACAGGCGGGTCTACCGGCGTGGGGGGCGGGCAGGCCCGAGGGTCCCGGCTGACCGCACAGAGCGCGGCTCTGCCCAAGAGGGCAGACGCCCAGTATGTACCTCGTGGCATTTGAAGAAGGGAGAAACTCCCAGGGTGGCCCGGATGTCCTTCAGCCGGTCCCGGTAGGCGATCTGGGAACAGAACACGAGCAGAGCATGAAGCGCCTGGGGAGGAGGCGGCCTTCAGGCCCCGTGCGGCCCGCTGGCGTCTCCAGTATCAGGGCCAAGGGGGCGCAAGTCCTGGTCGCTTAGCCCAACCTCCTCATCTGGAGCTGACGGAGCAGAGGCCCCAGACACGGCCTTGCGCACCCACACTCCTTCGCGGGCGGGAGGCGCCGGGGGCGGGAATCCGCGTGGGAGGCCGGCTCTGTCCCTTCCTGTGTCCTTGACCTCTCAGCTCCTCACCTGGAGAGCGGGGACAAGCGGCTGCCCGCGGACTGACTAGCACACCAGTCTCCATGGGCAGCGAGGCCACAGGAACCCACCCACCGTCCCTCTTGTGAGAGGGACCCGTCCTCGGGGCTGGGAGGCGGGCGGCGAGGGACAGGCCACCCCACCAAGGGTCCCCATCTATCCTCCAAAGAGGCCGGCAGCCAAGTCACCTCCCTCTTCACCCGGGCCGAAGCCGGGGGCCGGTGTTTCCCGTGCGGGCGGCGCGGCCTGGGGCTGGACCAGGGTGTCTGGAGAGCACAGGGGTCCCCGCGCGGCCCGCCCCTCACTCACCAAGATGTTGCGGTTTCCTTTAGTGAATTCTCTGAAGGCCTCAGTGACCTGCTCCTTCGTTTTGGTCTTCTTGAAGTCTCGGTTCACGGAGCCGTCTTCTTTCTGAGAACGACAAGCGCCCCGGAGGGGTCAGGCTCGACGGCGCCCCACGCCCGCCCGGCCCTGCAAGGCAGCCAGCAGCTGAGGGCGGTTAGCCGGGCGGCACCACAGAGGGCAGCCTGTCCTCGGCCCTGACCGACAACAGGGAGGGTGGCATCAGCATCCCAGGCAGCGGAGGACCGTCAGGGAGGGGAGGGGAGGGGAGGCCGGGACCGGAGCAGGGGCTGCGGGGGGCGGGGGCTGAGGAGACGGGCGTGGCTCCGCTTCGTCAGGCGGGCCCTGGGAACCCGAGCGCCCACCGGTCCCTGCCGTCCGGGGGCGCCCTCCCTCGCCAGACAGGAGAGAGGTGCTCCCCACCCCACGTCCCACGAGGCTCCCTTTGTAATTTAAGGTCTGTTATCGCAGGGTCTGGAGGCCGAGGTGTGAAGCAGCCCGCCGGCCTCTGCCCCCTGGCCCGCCTGATGCGAGAGACGACGCATCGTCTCAGCCTGGCGCCGGGTCTGTTCCAGGCTGTTCCCGGGAAGCACGAGGAACTCAGCTCCCCCATGAGGAGATCTGTTGTTAATTCAGGACAAAGGGCGAGAAAGCAGGGGTCCGTCAGGAGCCCCCAAACTTGGGTCTGTGCACCAGCAGGCTGGAGACGAGGTAAGGCAACGTGGCCGCCTCTGAGAGGGCGGAGGGGGGCTCCCTTCGTGGGGCGTTCCCTGGAGCGGGGGGGGTGCGGGGGGGAGACGGGCAGCCAGACGACGAACAGAGGCCAGGACCCCAGCTGGAGAGGGAGGCGTAAGGGAAAAGTGGACCGTTCCAGAAACATAAAGGAAAATGGCCATTATGGGGAAAAGCAGCATACAGTTGCGACCAGTAGAAGGGCTGGATGCAAAAAAGGAAGAAAAACTGGTATCAGAAGACAGGGGAGGGGCACGTGGCTCCTCAGCCCAGAGCTTGCAAAGCAGGGGCAGGGTGGGGGGGGGGGGGACTGCCGGACACTAGGGCCCGGCAGGAGGGCCTGGAGTGAGCAGAGACGGAACCCCGAGAAGGAGGCAGGGCCCGCTCGCCCGGGTGAAGGGAGAGCCTGCACCTGCTCGTCAGATCCAGGGCGGGCGGTGGGGGTGGCCTGGGGGCCAGGGTGGCCTCCATGCTGCCTGACCAGGGACACTCGGCACACGGAGGAGGGATGGTCCAGCTGCCTGGGCAGATGGAGGGTCACGGCTGGGAAGTGCCCGTGGCCAGTACGCCCCTGCCCCCTGCCCCCTGCCTCTCACTGCCCGTCCCCAGTTCTCAGGCAGAGAGAGCGGGTCTCTGCACTGGCACGAGACGTGCTGGCTCCCACGTGGGCTCGCAGTCAGTGCCGGACGGTCGGGGCTAGGTGGGGAGTCCTTGGCAGAGGGCGGACCCAGAAGCCACCCCGCTCCAGAGCCCCGGCCCTGCCTGAGGCGCGGGCCGATTTCCACAGACACCCTGGGCCGGTGAGGAAGGAGGCTCTCAGCCTCGGAAGGAGGCTCGCGGCCTCGGAAGGCCCTGCAAGGCACCACCACCCCTCGGCAGGGCGGGGGGGAATGGGGGCTCCGTCGCTTCCTTCCCCAGGCACCTGGCAGGCCTCACCTTGATGCCTTCGATCCTGAAGCCCAGCGTGGCAGTGGAGCTGATGGTCTCTCTCCACTGCATGTACCGAGGCTTGGTCACGGCCCGCTGGGCCTTCTCCTCCTCCGTCGGGGCGTCGGGGTCCACCTCGATCATCTTCTGGTACATGTCCTTCCGGAGGCTGGGCTTTTTGCGTGCCTTGATGAGCTCCTCCTCCAGGTAGGTCCTGCGGGGGAGGGGGTGCGGTGACGAGGGCCGCTGACCACCCTCAGCCCCGGCCTCACCTAAGGGCCGCGGTCCGCTCACCAGGGGCGCGTGGGCACACTCTGCTCGGGCCGGGCTGGCTCCTGACCGGGACAGCGGGGCGGCCTGCGGATGCGGCCACCTCACGGCAGCACTAAGTGCCGAGGCCAAGCCGGAAGGCGGCCTCGGAAGGGGCCACTCCGGCGGAGGCAGCAGCCTGGGGGCCCCATGGCCGCTGTCGGATGGCCCAGCTCAAGCCTCCTCACACCCAAGCCCCTACCCGAAGGCCCAAGAAAGCAGAGCCAGTGGCAAGTGCTCACGGCCCCCTGACCGCACACACCGGCTGCTGGCTGAACTAACCCGTGGGGTCCCCCAGAACCCGGAGCAGGGGCAGGGCAGGACCTTGGCACCCTGGGGCCCCAGCCCCCCGATGCCTCCCTCATCCCCATCGCCAAACTGAGGTGGGGAGTCACCCCTGCTGCACACGTGGGCATCCTGCACACCACAGACGCACCCCTGTTCCCTAGTCAGACCCCCCTGCCGCTGGGCTCCTCTGCTGCCCCAGAACCTTCCGGAGACAGAAGTCACAGGACCAAACTATAGCAGATGGAAGATTTCTGTGCTGGCCCATCGTGGGCAGAAGCTGCCCACAGGGTGGGGGCTGTGATGGCGGCCCGGACCCCCCTCCCCTCACACCTGCTGCCTGGGACCCAGAACAGATTGCACGTCAGTTCACGCCGCCTTCAGAGGCTGTTTTCAGAAATCACCGTGTCAAATGTAAGAAAACATCAAATCCTGGGGCGTGAATGTGGGCCTGGTCATTTAGAGCCCGCTGTTGGCCCTTGGCTGTACCCATGTATGCCTGCCACAGGTATGCACCCCCCCACACACGTGTACACACACTCCATGCACGCGTGCACACACCCCCACACCCATGCACACCCACCCACACATGTGCACACCCCCCACGCACAGTGCACCTCCCTGTGCACACTCCCAAGCACACCCACCCACCCACCCACGTACGCACACACACGAGCAAATACCTGAATACACCCCTCATGCACACGTGGGTGCACACCCTCATGCACGCCCACACACCCATGCACGCACACCCTCACCCCTTGCACGCCCCCACGTGCACGCACACCCTCACGTACATACACCCATGCACACCCCCACGCACCCATGCACACCGTCGCACACAGTGCACAGCCACACGCACAACCCATTCACACATACACACTCCCACACAAAACCCCATGTACAACTCTCATGTACACACGCGCACACACCCACGCACACGTGCACGCACACGGCTGGGCCTGCAGAGCCAGGTCTGGGATAGCAGGAGCTTCGAGGCAGAGGCCGAGGGGCAGGAGGCTTTTGCGTGGTCGTGTCATGCTGGCCCAAATGCTCAGAGCACATGGAGGGCACCTGTGGGGGTGGGGGGGCGGCCGCACTTCTGCAAAGAGCTTTTAGTAGCTCCTTAAACAGGAAGGGGGCCTGGGGCTTTCTCCAAAGGGGCCCCGCAGTCAGTCTGGAGGGGAGGGGTCGCTTGCCCTGCACGGGGAATTGTCCCCAGCCCCACAGTGGGGTGTGACCTCCCCAGCCGGCCCCTTGGCCCCCCTAGAGGAGGGCGACATCTCCTCTTGAGGCACTGTCCCCGCCTCGCCCGCCACTCTGGGGTGTAGTGGGACAGAAGCAGGGAGGCAGCCTGTCCCCAGAAGCCTCCCAGGGAACAGAGAGCTACACGGGGCAGCCTCTGGGGACAGACTTTCCACTCATCCTTCCCGCAGGGCGTACTTTTTTAGGCCACTGTCTGAGTGAACGCTAATCGGAATATTTCTGTGTCTTCCCTTGAGAGGGCCCATCCTGGTGCGCCGGGGGGGCTTCCGGGGACAGAAATAAGACTCTGGGGAAGCCAAGTGGTGGCCAGAAGGACATTCTGTTTCCTCCCTGTGGGCTGGAGGGGTGAGGGCCCTGGACAGAGGGAGGCAGGGAGGGAGGGACGGAGGGAGGCAGAGGGAGGCAGGGTGGAAGCCAGGGAGGTCAAGGACAGCTCAAGAGCAAATAGCGGGACCTGTACTTCCGCATCCCTGGCCGCCCACCGGGGAACACTGCCTGCAGGGTCAACTTGAGGACACAGTCCCAGGAGTGAGGAGGGAAGGGAAGGTGGCTGTCAGGCCCTCTTCTCTCCTGGCCCCTGCCTGTCTTGCACACATGTGCATGCGAGCACACACACACACTTCTTTCTCATTCTCCTCTTGTAAGAAATAAAAACCATCCAAAGCAAACCCAGGCCCCAGCCCTGAGCGGCTCCCTGGAGCCCAGCCTCCCTGGTGAGCCCCAGGCAGATAGACAAGCCGGGTATCAGGCTGTGCAGTCTGGACGGCCTCCCCGGAGGAGAAGGCCTTCACTAGCCCTCGCCGCAGGAGAGAGGGACCCTGGTGATTCCTCCAGATGGAATGGTCCAAGTTCAAGTTTGAGGAAAGAAAGTCACGCAGCCAGAGCAGGGTCCCCTCGGCTCTGCACATCATCCTGTCCCCTCCTGACCGCGCTTCCGGTCTCCTTCCCTTCCGAGTCCCCTCCAAGCTTAGGCTCATCTCCCTGTGCGCCCACCACCTTGCTGCCAGAGCAATCCCACCCACCCGGAAAGGTCCAGCCACACTGCGACTGGCTCCGGAAAAGGGAGGAGGCCGTGAGGGGCGAAGCCAGGGGCCTGTCCCCTCTGCGCGGAAAGTATCAGACCGGGGTGGGGGTGGGGTCCCGGTAGTCCCCCCACACCCCAAGCCTGCCCTGCCACACACCGGGCTTCAGGGTGGCCCCGGCACATGCGGGCCCCTCCGCGGGCCGGGCTGGGGCGCAGCTCACCTGACGCCCATCTTGCAGTCCATCACGCAGGGCGAGTCAAAGGCGGCTAACAGGTCGTCCATCTGGTTGTAGCGCTCGCCGTCTTTCACCACGTCCCCGTGGTAGGCGGGGACAAAGGGCCTCAGCACGTCTGCCATCAGCCGGTCCAGGCAGCGCTGCTCCGACTCACAGTGCTTCTTCAGGATCCTGCCGTTGGCGGCCGCCTTAAAACTCCCTGCAGAGTGAGGTGAGGGAGGCCCTCGGTCCGAATGTGAGACCCTCCCTGCTCTCACACCCACCTGCCTCCCAGCCCCCCAGGGGTGCTTGCTAAATAAAGCTAAAGATGCCCCCAGGTCCCCGCCCGTGGACCAAGCACCGTAAGGGGAGTGCAGACAAGTCCTGGCTGCAAATCCGGGCTGGGTCCCTAGCTTCCCTGACCCCAGGCTCTTCTTCTGCAGACAGGGGGACACCAGGGCTCACTGCGGGGTTCGCACCAACGAGACCTAGTCGCTCCCCTTCTTGGGTTGCTGTCACCACCCCCGCCCCTCATCAGTCCAGTTCTCAGGCAAGGACAGTGCCTCGGGTCTCAGGACAGAGTCCGGATTGGACGGGCTCGGTCTCAGGAAGGGGAGATTGGCTGAGAAGTGGGGGTCCCAGCACAGCCCACCCGGGAAGTGCCCCTTCTCAGCCACACTGTCAGGGACGTATTTATTTAGGAAGGGTGATGCAGGAGAGAGACAGAAAGGGGAGAGAGAGAGGGACTGAAGAGACAGAGACGAGGAAGGGGGGGCCGCGTGTGTGTCTGGGGCCGGGCCGGGCTCTGGAGGGGGCGTCTGTCCTCCCGGGTTCTCAGGCCAGTGCTCAGGCCACATCTGGAGACTCCGGCTGGGACTCCCAGAGATCCCGGGAGCACCCGGGGCCAGCCCTCCCCACCCACGGCGCTGGGCGCCTCCCCGGAGAGCCGAGGGTCCAACGGGAACGCCCGAGGGCCGGCGGTGACCTGCGTGTCCCGCCAGCTGGATCCAGGGGTATTTCTTCTTGAAGGACATGACGAAGGGGGACCAGTGCACCATGTTTTTGATTTTCCGCCATGACTTGCTCTGGAAACAAGCGAATGAAAAACCCTCCGTTAGAAAGGAAACTACAGTGGGCTCTGTCGGTTGAGCGTCTGACTCTCGGTTTCGGCCCAGGTCACAATCTCGAGGTTCGTGGGATCGAGCCCCGCATCGGGCTCCGCGCTGACTGTGAGGAGCCTGCTTGGGGTTCTCTCTCTTCTCTCTCTGCTCCTCCCCCCACTCACAGGCCCATTTACTCCCCCCTCCCCTGTCTCAAATAAATACACATTAGAAAAAAAAAAAAGGGAACTGCTGCTTTCTGGTTAGGACAAACGGAAAGCAAGGGGACTTGCTACCTGTGGCCCCTAGATGACAAAGGCCAGGCAGGTGCCCTTGGTGGCTCCAAGGACATCACCTCCGTTACCTACATGGCGGACCTCCAGCGGGAGTTGGGCAAAGTGCCCAGATGCTCAGAGCGTCGGGCGGTGGGGGTCTGACAGGTGCACTGCCACAGCCCCATCTGTCAGGCTCGCCACCCTTCATGTCCCTCTCAGGCCTCAGTTTCCTCCTCTGCCTCGTGAGAGAGGGGCAGCTGGCCCACCAGGCTCTTTGGACTGCCGGACCCTCGGGGGCCCCGGGACGTGACCTCAGCACCCCAACAGCAAAGCACCGGCGGAAAACCAGAGGGCCACCGTCACCGGCTGCTGCGTGTCACCTCACGCTGCGCTGCAGACGCGGCTGCACAGAGGCCCTTCTCGCCTGCAAGCAGTTTGAAGAGAGACCTTGCAGGGAGTTCCCCAGGGACAGCACCCTCTGCCCTGCGGCTCGGGTGCACACAGGGGTGACAGTTCCCTCCTCTTCAAGGTACTTCTCCTTCTGAGGGTGTTTGTCAAGTAAGAAGAGTGTGTGTGTGCACGCGTGCATGCGCGTGCGCAGGAGGGACGCCGGGGCCGAGACGGGCATGACTTCATCGCCGCAACAGGTGTGCAGGGTAGTCACCATCCCGTTGCAGGGAGAGCTGGAGCCCCGGGGAAGCAAGTGATGGAATAGGCTCGAGAACCTTCACCCACACGACTGCTTTACAACCCACCCCCGCCCCCCCGCCGCACTCAACGCTTCTGCAGAAACACACACCCCCAAGTTAACGCAAACAGCTGGTCAGAGACGGAGAACCCCCACTGTTCCTGGGAAAGCGGGTCCCGGGCTGGCAGAACCAGAGCGAACCCACGAGGCTCCGCACTGGGAGAACAGGCTAGAAACAGTGGGGGGGGGGGGGCACGGCGTGAGGAGGGGCCCTGCCTCGACCAGGACGCAGACCCAGGAGCTCGCTCCCTGCCCGGGCCTGTCGCTATGGAGGCTGCCGGGGCCCAAGGTGACATCAAGGTCACACCAGCCGCATCTGTCATCAGGCTCACACGTGAGAATCTGTGCAAGGAGGAGGACGCCAGCTACTGACCCTGGCACCCCCCCCCCATGCCACACCCCTCACCCTGCCACAGGGACCTAGTCTATTCTTGCACGAGGGCCGAGCTCGCCAGGCCACATGACAGGAGGGCTGGGCCTCTATGGGCAAGGTTGTTTTTCTAGATCCTTCCGATGGAGATCACCAAAGAAGGTGAAGGAAGGCCAAGGAGTTTCTTATCTAAGCCCCCAGAAGGCCGAACAAACAATTCGGGGGGGGCACAACGGAAAAACCTCACTGCACGAGATGAAGGGGGGTTAAGACGTGAAGGTGGGTCCAGAGGAAAAGTACGCAGCCTGCCACCACTTGCCAGCCACGCCCGGGCAGCAAGGGAGGGGGCAAGGGTCTGACAGGTGCACGTGGAGCAGGGAGGGCACATGCTCGCAGTCCAGACCGACCCGTCCCGTGCCACGGCCCCGTCTGTCAGGGAACAATAGGCCCACGCTGCCCTTCATGCCCCTCTCGGGCCTCAGTTTCCTCCTCTGCCTCGTGAGAGAGGGGCAGCTAGCTCACCAGGCTCCTTGGACTGCCGGACCCTCGGGGAACTCGGGACGCAACCTCTGCACCCCACAGCAAAGCGCCGGTGGAAGGCCAGAGAGCCACTGTCACCTGGCTGTGGCGTGTCACCTCACGCCGCACGGCAGACGTGGCGGTCCCTCAGCCAGGGAGGGGTGTGCAAAGACGGGGAGCGTGGGGAAGGCAGGCCTTTGTGTTGGTGGAGCCTGGCAGGGGAGGGTGGGGACAGACTTGGGGTGATAGCGGGGACTGTCACCGGCAGGGGCCTGTGGAACGGAGCCCCAGCTGGGTCCAGACCTGCTGGGAAGGGCAGCTGGAGGCAGTGGGGGATGAGGGTGAGCAGGCGGGGCCAGGAGGCCTGGAGCAGGGCAGCGTCCGCGGTGGGGAAGAGGCAGGTGTCCTGGGCCGGAGACCTGGCTCCGCCCCCTCCTCACCTGCTGACCTTGGGCAGGCTCCTGAGCCTCCTGGTGGCCCTCTCAACTTCCCTGTAGGACGGAGGCACACGCGGGCCCCCCGATCGCAGGAGGTTAAAGCCATTCAGCGATTACGGGGAACGTGAGGGAGGGTCTCAGCTCTGCGTTCCAGGAAGTCACCTCGGAAGCAGCCTGTCTGGACCCAAGCACAGGCGTCGCCGTGCTTACTAAGGAACAGAGACCACGGAGCCCGGGGCTGGGGCAGACCCGCTCGGGGTGCCGGCAGCTCCTGGAGGCGCGTTCCTCCCTCACTTCCCGGGATCGCCTGGGCGGACGCTTCCTGGACCGTCCCCAGAGCTCCATACCCCCTGACGGGTCCCCGCTGGGCTCTCTGGGTGGCGGGTCTGCAACACCGAATGAGGGGTCGGCTGGCTGACGTCAGCGGGCTCTACCCCGGCGGCCCGCGTCCTCACGCACAAGCTTGGGGCCTGGCCCGTCTAATGCACAAGCGGGGCCATTCCTCCCGCATCTGCTGAGTGCTGCGGTGCGTGGGGTGATGGCTTTCAGGTCGCTGGAGGAAGGGGGAGAGGAGGGAGAGGGCCCCCCCCGACACAGGACCAGCAACGTGACATATGGGTCCCTCGTCCAAAACTTAGTAAGACTGTCGACACGGAGACAGCATCGCCTGAATCAAGCGTGGGGCCCCTTTGCGGGCGCCTGTGACTGCAGCTCTTGAGCCCAGGAAGCTGGCCCTGCCCCTGGCGGTCATGGGGGCAGGTGAGCCGGGGCCTGCTGGGTCCCCACCTGCTGGCCCTCTGCCGATGACCAGTGCCGGGGGAGGGGAGGGCTGGACCGCACGTGCCCGAGACCCTCTTCGGGGGACTCACAGCGGCCCCCGGAAAGGCCTGGCTCGACGGGGAGGACGTTCACCTCATTCACCTTCTGCCCATTCCCTGGGTCTGGACTTGCTCTGTCCTACCCAGTGGCCTCTTTCCTGCACACAGAAAGGACACTGGACCCTGGGGGGGGGACTGTCTGAGCCAAGTGCCCAGCCTTCCCTTGCAGGGGGCCCCCAGGAGGCCCCACAGTCTGCCAGGCCCCACGCGGGTCAGGAGGAGGGACACCAAACAGGCACGCGAGGAAGGCGCATCTGCCCATCGGAACCCGCTTGGAGCCTCTGGGCCCGAGCAGAGGTTTCCGGGAAGCTGCGGGCTCATCAGGGCCCTGCACCCCCCTGTGCCATCAGCCGCCACACTGCCTGGACCACTACTCGCGACCCCAGTTTACCCTGGCGTGCCCAGTCCTGTCCTCCAGCCTCCCCTCCCTCGAGTCGCCAGGCCCGCGCTGGAAGGGCCACCCTTCGTGCCGCATTTCGCTTCGGGAAGGCAGAGCGTGATCTGGCCCGTGGACGTTCTCATCTGTAAACTGGGCTCGAGAACATCTCTCACACCAGGCCCAGCCCGTCGGGGGTGGAGGAGGGTACTGAAGAGGGAAGAATACGTATACACACGTGCTCCGTACACGGTCACGGGGCAGGTGAAGCTTAAGTGTTCAGTTTGCTTTTACGTGTCTTTTTTTCTTAGCTGTAACAGTTTTCACCTGCAATGCACGGCGGCCTGACAAGGAGCCGTCTGGACACGTCCAGGGGGTGAAGTCGTCGTTAGGTGGCAAGAAAATGAGCTGACTGTGTGATCGGCTGCTTGTGAAGTCTCCCTGTGGTGCTCACGCAGTGGGAACCCGCATGGCACCCCCTGAATTGCACCCCCCCACCCAACGCGGAGAGGGTCTAAGCCAGGCAGCCCAGCGCTGGTACCAGTTTTTGGTTCAATGACTCTGAAGCTGCCCCAGAATAGAAGAATTTCCCAAACAATCCCATCTGCCAGGCACCACCAAACAATGCTATTTTGGGGGTAAAGAGATTACGGAGCAAAAGTTTCATTTTATCAAGGGGATCTTACATCCTTTTCTTCACTTTTTCCTATCTAACTTCCCTCCCTCCCCCCCGCCGATTTCCTATTTTTCCTCTAGCACTTTCCTTTTTATTGAAACAGTCGTACCACTTGACTGACTGTTCTTTTCAGAAAATCATAGAGTCTTCATTTCTTCTTTTTTCTAGTTTATTTATATATTTTGAATTTATTTATTTTGAGACAGAAAGACAGCACGAGCAAGGGAGGGGCAGAGAGAGAGAGGGAGAGAGAGAATTCCAAGCAGGCCCCACACTGTCAGCACAGAGCCCGATGCAGGGCTCAAACTCATGAACCCTGAGATCATGACCTGAGCTGAGACCAAGAGTCGGATGCTTGACCCACCGAGCCACCCAGGCACCCTTTCCATTTTTAATTTTAAGACTGAAAGAGAGGAGGGGAAATCTCTAAGACGTCAGAAAAGGGGAATTTTCTCTGGACCCTGTGACTCTCTAAAATATTCCTGCCGGGGGGCGCCTGGGTGGCTTAGTCGGTTAAGCGTCCGACTTTCGCTTAGGTCATGATCTCGCAGTTCATGGGTTCGAGCCCCGCGTCGGGCTCTGTGCTGACTGCCAGCTCAGAGCCTGGAGCCTATTTCAGAGTCTGTGTCTCCCTCTCTCTCTGACCCTCCCCTGCTCACGCTGTCTCTCTCTCCTAGAAATAAATAAAAATAATTAAAATAAAAAT